CCCCCCCTTCCTCCTCGTCCCTATTCTGCCACGAAACAAAACAGCTCCAGGCCTCGCCGCACGAGCTGCACGAGTCTCTCTGCGAGGTGTCCGGCACGAAGGCCATCAACGCTCACCGCTCGAACGCGCTGAGGCAGCTGGCCCGGTGGAGGAGGTCTCTCGCCGACATACAGGACAACATTAACGTGAGTCGGCCGCGGCAGGACCAGATACTCTCAAGCGTCAGCCGATGGTTCCACAACGCATGCGTTGTACCTCCCGTGCGATAGAGTACGTTGGAGATTTCCGCCTTCGTAGGGCGTAGGTATGGTAGATCAAAGGTGTTTCGCCACGCCAGTATCTGTGAGTGACGAGACATGACATGCCACCGGTGTTTGTATGATGCGGTGCGTATGAGTTGCAGTGCTGACATCAAAGGAGGCTGCCAACGAATAGCTTTCCTTCACCTTCAACATTTCATCACACACGTTCGTCAATCTCCACGTCAATTCCAATTCGTCGTTCAAGGCCCTGGAGGAGGCCGTAGGCCGAGAGGGCGCTCACCTACAGGCGATGGAAAGGGTGCGAGAGGTGAGAGACGCTGTGGTGACAGCGCCTCGAGGCTCAACACAGGCGACGGCCAACAAGACCGTTCCCCATTCTTGGGTGCATTCTTCGTGCGTGCGAGCGGTGGCGGCGGTGGCCGTCTCCTGAGCATCAGGCCCGCACCAGCCTGTCGGCTTGCCATTTGTTGGTCCTAAACGCATGTATTGTTGTAAGTTTGTCAATTCATGCCTCTCTGTTTTGCATTTTTTGTTACTTCCTCACGAAAATGCCAATCTTTTGTGACGTCCATGTGGTCGAAAGTTGACCACGGAGCTGGACGCCATTCCCGGGGAGATGGAAGCCCTGAATCGAGAGATAGCCAGGGCGGAGCACGCGGCGGCGGAGTGGCTGGTAGTCCGGCTCGGCTTTGACGTCGAGGTACGTTAGTGGGCTACACACACACACACCCGAGGTACGGGGGTTACTGTAGCGTCCCAGGCTAAACCCAGACCCGCGCCCCCTCTGGGACTAGATTATTGACGCACAACTTGGGGCAGCACGTGAGAAATGTTTTGCGTCTGTTGTGATTTATTTCGTTGTCTACCATGAACAGAGGGACGAAGTCGGACAACGGCAAGCGTCGCTGGGAACTCAAGAGCCCCGCGACCGTCCAGACCAATCTCTGTATATTGTTACATGTAGGAGGACGATTGTTGTGCTCAAATTCGTGCTTTACTTTGCGATCCTGCCCACGTCGTCGCGCACTCGAGACGGAGAATGAGAGACTACAGTACACGTGATGAGTTTCCGCGTTGTTTGACATTGTACCCCCGTCGTTGAACTTTCGTCTCTCGTTTCATTGGCAAGGTGGTGCCGTTGCGATATAGGGCCCTCGCTAGCCTCGCATGAAATACATGTATTATGTATAGTGCACAGGTAGACACCCTGAAGTCTCAGCGAAACGGTGCGGCACATATGGGAACAATTTCACAGCGCCGGTGCCGGCATGGGTGCCCCCGGAGTTAGCTTGGCACGTACCGGTGGCCCAATCGTGAGGCCACCCTACTTCTTTACTTCAAGAGGCGCTCAAGTTTGAACAGAGCCGCTCGGAGTGGTGTGCTCTCTCGACGTTTCTCTCGTCCATCCGTGTGTGTGTGTCTCATCAAACACAAAACACGTCGTCAACGACGATCATGCGGGAAAAAAAAAAAAAGGCGCTGGAGAGGGAAAAGAGCGCCGATGATGACCGCATCCGCGGGCTTCAGGCTGAGATGACGGAGGCGGCGGGGCGCAAGGAGGGCCGCGGGGGCGACAGCAGCGGCAGCAGCGACGGGAGCGAGGCGCTGCAGAAGGAGCTATCGCTCGCCCTGACGGGCCTGGCGGAGGCATCTGCCGAGGTACAACAGTAGTGGGGGAGGACCAGGTTAGGGATCACTGCACCCGCGAGGTGTTGTCTGGCTCCCTCCATCCATCAACCCCCGGTCCACTGTCGCATGGTAAGGCGTCGGCGTGTGGGTGGGTCCATGTCGTCGGTGTCCACTGCTTGCGTCTCAACATCATTGTCGGTGGCGCGCGTTGCCACCATGACGCAGGTGAGGCTGGAGAAGGCCGCGCTTCGCGAGAAGGAGGAGCTCAACGGGAAGTGGCTGCAGATTCTCGAGGCCGCCAGGCGCGAGCGGGTGGATCTGGATGCGAAGTCGTCGGCTCTGAGGGGCAGGTGCGCCGTGCTCAAGGAGAGGAGGGGGCGGCTGCAGCAGGAAGTGGACCGGAGCCGCGCCCAGCTCTTCATGATCGCGGCGGACGGTGGAAGGTGTGTGTGGGGCGTGCACTCATGGAAACGCATGCGGTGGCCGTTAGGCCGTTGACCTTGCATCCCTATGCTGCCGGGACGGAGCGAAATGCCGGGTTGTCGCCGGTGCGGGCTACGTTTCACAAGGATGAAGCAGCAGTGTGTGTGGCGGGGGAGGGGGCTTGCGGAAGAGGGAGGGGGCGAGCTAGTTGATGAGTTATGCGAAAAGAATTGATGGTACCCTGTGGTTGAGAGCTTCATCACCGGGTAAAGCCAGACACACCATGCATTGAATAACATCTCTTCGCCAAGATTGAGCGGTGGGAGGTGGGGGCGGAGGAGGAGAGGGTAAATATATATTGTGTTGGTAGTTGGCATTGTTGATGGGTAGAATTCTCGCATGTCAACCCAGACTAACTCCAATTTCCACAACGCCGGGGGCAGAGCACACGTTGAACCCAAACACAATGCGGTTTTGACGTGGTATCTCGCGCTTGCAGACGCATTTTCTTTCATCAGCCCATGCCGCAAGGTTTTCAACCCAAGTATTTCCAGGTCCGGACGGTACCCCCCCCCTCACAGACCACCCGCGGGCTGTGCGTTCACCTGGTTGTTGTTGTGACTGCGGCCATTCTCCACGCCATACCCTCCAGCCTCTCCGCCACACACACACACACTACCAGCCACCCTCTTTCCCTCCTCCCGTTCCTGTGTGCAATCAGGCGTCAAACCGACCGTCGAGAACTGCTGTCCACGGTACACTGTCCCTTCCATTTGCGTTATTTGTATCTTTTGCAACTCAACCAACGCTTTGACGTCGTCAGCGTTCCCAACGGCGGCGGCGGCGGCAGCGATACCGACGGAGCCCTGAGAGCTGCCCGCCGGGTGCTAGACGACCACCAAGAGTTCGTGAAGCGCGCAGAGTCACGCCGCGCGACCATCTCGGCGATGGTTTCGAGCGCGGAAGCGGAGGTCGAAGAGCGCACCTCGCAGGTCACGGCGGCCAACGCCTTGGTCGACGAGGTGAGGATGGGACCTGAGGGGGGGGGGGGGGGGGGGGTGTACCCATNGCACGCCGGGTTCTCACCGGACCAGGCTCTCACATCACCAAGCGCGAAGCGCCGTGAGATATTCGGCGAGTCGCGTGAAGGGTGCGCTGCATCTTACTAAGGGTTATCGGCATCTTGTACTCACTTCCTTGCATACGGATGACAGCTGCGTATGACTTAATTTACTTTCTGTTGCTTTCACGTCCAGAGACAGTTGTAAGCACTGTGTAACTGCCTCGAGGGTGCTTGACCATTTTAACACAACGTGGTGCGATCATCCCCCTTGCGCGGAGTGAGGGTTCTCCACCCCGCACAACATGATCTACTCGACCACCATTATGGTTACCGCCAAATGGAAAAACGGAGGTAAAAAAATAACGGTAACCTGGTTGCCGAGTTCACGAAGTGAATTGGCTTGTTTTACAACGTCGTTGCCGAGCGACGAAAACCCAACCCCGATGGCAAGCACCGAGGGGGTGGCTTGTGTTACAACGTCGTTGCCAAGCGACGAAAACCCAACCCCGATGGCAAACACCGGGGGGGGGGGGGATGGGAATGGGAATTAAATATTTTGGGATTGACTTGTCCGGAGGCTTGGCGAACTTACCCCCGCCGAAAATGGTTGCCTTGTCTGTCAAGTTTTATCATGCCAACACATGTGTCATTGAGCCTGTTTCCCTACGTTTTTTTCGCCGTGCTTTTTTTTTACTCCCCGCGACGCCTAGGTGTGGGGGAGGATGAGGCAGATCGGGTCGCCCCTGCGCACGGCCGAAGACGCCAAGAAGTACCTTCGCGGCGTCAAGGTCAGACATGCTGTGCTATGCCAAGTGCTTAGGCAACACCATGTAGCCCGGAACAACTAATCTCGCACCTCTGCGGTTATTCCGTACGTAATGTGTGTGTTGTGTTCGCAAGGTCGCATTCCGTTCCGGTCCCGAAGTAATGGTGAATTATGTCGATCTGATCTAGGTTATTGGGAAGGTGGGGGGAGAGACAAGGTTGGACCTGTCCATCTGGGTGTGCCCTTCGCGAGGGAGTGGAGTTGGCATTTTTGTCGCCTCCCGCAATCAACACAGCAGTAAGTTACACACATGGTCCGCAGAGCCTTACCTCCCAAAGGTTATGTGATTGCACAGGGGTTGAACTCCCTCCTCCTCGCATGCATGCATACATGTAGCGCCCACCTTTCTACCATGACAACAACGACAACATCAACAAAAAGCTGGATGGCGGTGTATTTCTCGCTGGGAACAAACCACAGGACCAGCGAAGCGTCCAGCGGGAGCGCCAGCTAGATCTCTCGAGAGCGCTAGAATCCTCGCGGCAGAGCCTGGCCGCGGCCAGGCGTCGCATCGGCGCGCCCCAGTGGTGCTCGCAGCTCGTCTGCGGCGGCGGCGGCGGCGGCGGCGGCGGCGGCGGCGGTCACAGGGGCTTCTTTTTCGAGGTTTTCGAGATCCGCCGAGGTCTTGGCGACGAGGGTCATCTTCAGGCGTTGGCGTCGCTCCTAGGTGAGAAGAGGTGGATGAGCAGGGGGGGGTCCGCAGCTCGTCGTCTGTCAAAGGTTTGTACCAGTGTTCAATGGTTATGGGCCACGCATGAACTGTTGCCATCACGGCAATACGGCGGATGGATGACGAAACCCTCCGCTTTCTTTGAATTTTGGTGACCTCCAGCGGGTTCGCTGTCGGTGTGGGTGTGCGAGTCCCCGCAGCAGGCGGACCAAGCTCTCGACCTCGCCAAGTCCAACGCCGCCGGCCTCAGAGTTTGGTGAGTTGATTCGAGTTGTGTTTCTATTGTCGTTGTGGGAGCCGTGCCGCCGGCCACGAAAAAAAAAAAGGTTTCGCCACCGCACGGAACCTCTATCCTAACAGACTACACGCGCTCGCCATGTTACACGCGCACAGTAGTTGCGCTTGCAACGCCCGAAGCATGAGAGATCAACGTGCCGCACCCGAGCATTTTTTTTCGCATGTTTTCAACGTGTGGGGTGTTATGTCTCTATTAAGTCGTTGAGAGAGATGGACCAGACATATTGCATTCAGCGGGGGTTTAACGTTTACCAGACAGTGGTCGTGGCCAATGTTGGTGATGAGAGTCAATTTCACCTTGAACTGCATCCCCCCGCTCCCCCCCTCTGCTTCTCCCCAACGCCACCCTCCCCGACATGGCCGTAGTCTACCCACCCACGGCGCTTCCTACTTGCTCTCTGTTCACGTGACCAATAGGCCGATCGAGCGCCTGAAACGTCATTTCTATTTACCTGACTAGTAGGCCAATCCAGCACCTGAAACGTGCTTTCTTTTTACTCAAATCAATAGGCCAATCGCGCGCCTGAAAGCCGCCACAAGAGCAAGCCGGGGGCGGGGGCGGAGCGGTCGGGTGCGGCAGGCCCTAGAGTGGGCAGAGCGGAAGTGGCCGGGACAGGGAAAGGTGCGTGTGGGCTAGCTTGTTTCCTTTTTGCAAGGAGGGGGGATAGAGGGTACAAGGTACCTACCGTAAATGACACAAGATACCACACCCTCTAGACCAATTTTCAAATCTCGATTTCTGAACAAAAGAAAGAGTCACAGCGCCGAAAGCGGTGGCGTTGAAGCTCTCTCATCGAGAGCCTTCCGAAATTGTATTGTTTCATTTATGCATCCTCTTCATCGTTGCGTAATCGAGCTTTGAAAATTGCTCCAGGGGGGTGTGTCATCTTGTGTCATATACGGTAGAATTTTGCCACGTTTGTTTAGTGTCCGCGTGGCTTGTTCCCTTTGTTGTTTGTCAGTGATAGTGATGGTGATGATGTTCTTGCTGCTGGTGCTGTTGATGGCGTTGCTGCTGCTGCTGCTGCTACTGTTGCTGTCTTTTCTGTGTGTGTGTGTCTTTAGAGCTCTCTGCAACACTACCCCTTCCCGCCGCTTCAATCTCCAACCCATCGGAGGGCGGCAGGTGACAGACCCAGCGTCGTTCCTCGCTTGGGACGAAGAAGACGAGGGCGTCACCGCTGCCGTTGACAAGGCCTTGGGGGCGTGGCTCATCACGGCGGAGTGAGTGAGACATGAGACGGGAGGTGCAGAGGAGAGACGACCGAATCGAGCTTGCGGCTTGTGTCTCTCGCACGCTCTTGAAGCGAAACAAGGCAGCTCGTTCTTCGCCCTTAACCCCCGCCCGCTCTGACATATACCTTGAAGATGACTTGCCATGTGATAGAGGTGGGATGACGACGGGCGCCTTGGTTGAGATGCGCACTTAAGAATCTGTTGAATTATTGGGGGCATTCAACAAAATACGCCTCCTCCCGCGCCCCCCCCACCTTACCCTTCTGCTTCGTGCTCCCCCCACGCCCTCCTTGCACTATCGTCCTCGCTTCCGTCCCTCACTTGTGTGTTATCTTAACTAACACCCCTACCCCGCCTCAGCGATGACACAAGCGCTCTGGTCCTGGACGAGCTCGGGATGAGTAGCGTGACGTTGTCGGGTGTCCGACACGCCCCTGGAGAGGTGTGTACAGTACGCAAACAGATCAGGAGAGGGAGAGGGGGAAGAAGAGTGACGTATTCAAAGAGAGCGACAGGGACACAGAGGCAGGGACACAGGGGGAGAGAGAGAGAGAGAGAGAGAGAGAGAGAGAGAGAGAGAGAGAGAGAGAGAGAGAGAGAGAGAGAGANAGAGAGAGAGAGAGAGAGAGAGAGAGAGAGAGAGAGAGAGAGAGGCACACACACAGAAAGAGTATTCGACAGCAGAAGCAAAGGTTAGGGAAAGGATAAGGTAGGTTGTGCAAGATATCACACCCCGCTGGACCGATTTTCGAAGCTCGATACCTCGGCAGGAAAAGTGGTGACAGTGCTGAAATAGCGGCGTTGGAACCGTCTCGTCGATAGCTTTCCGAAAACGTATACTTCAATTTCAGCATCCTGTTCGTCGTGGAGTAATCGAGTTTTGAAAATCGGTCCACGGGGTGTGGTATCTTACGTCATGCAACCTACGGTACACGCGTTGTCGCATCTTGTAGTGTGCCACCTGTGTGGACTGTGGACAGCTAGTTGACAGTAGCACATGATTTTCACTCGCCAACCCTCCTGGGTCTTATCAATCTTCACGTGGTTCTTTTGTGTCTTTTACGATAGGCAGACGTATTAACTCTAGTCTATGAGCAAATCGTTCACAAATCAGTGCATTCATTGTCGATCATGTCTTCCGGTTGCCTCGAAGCCCTTCGTTCCTTCCTTCATGCTCTTCACGTTCGATCGAATCGACCTGTAGGTGGTCGGGGGGGCGGTACAAGGGGAAGGGGCGAGACTGAGAGCCAAGCTTGACTGGGATCTCGCGAACCATGCCAGCAGGGAGGGAGAGGCGTCGCTAAAGGCATGCGTGGAGGCGTGCAGGTACCAGGAAAGAAGAAGAGTGGGAGTTGTGACGTGGAATCGGCCGGCCGGCCGGTGGTGGCCTATCGCGCGAAGATATGTGTGTAGATGTGCCAGTGGGGTCGTGGGTGTGCGCGTCTCGAAGTTGCTTGCGATCAAAGTGTGTTTCTTAGGCCTTCTTGGGCCGGGAACAGCAGGAAATTTGAACACTGAAAAAGGGGGGCACGCGACATCAGCTGACGCGAGCTAATTGCGCCGCTTCACCTGTATCTATCCAATTGCGCCGCTGCGCCGCTCTACTTTCTCTCTCTCTCTCTCTCTCTCTCTCTCAACTAACTGCAATTCCCTCAGAAGCTCATCATTCTAACCATAAACCAACACTTTCTCAATCCTAGTCTCCACCTTGTACACTTTTCATGACCATATTTGACGATATCTCAACCAGAACAAATTCCAACCCTGCTCCCAGAGCCATCCTCCTCAAGTCCATTCCATCACGCCTCAACATATATAGTGCGATTGAACTACCCCAAGTCTTCTTACACTGACTAAAACTAGGGTTGGCTGATTGCACGACAACTGTAGTGGTCCATCGGATTTCGAGGGAAGATAAAGGCGTTTTGTAAGGGAGGTCCGGGAGGAGCGGGTACGGATGGGGGGGAGACGCAAGCAGAGCGGGATTCGTCATGCATGTTTGCGTCTCTGGGTGGGGTCCTGTGTCGACCATGCTTGTGGTAGGGTGCAGCAATCTGGGTATTCTCGAACACTCTTTCGGAACATGAAACTAAAAGCCAAATCAGCGCAGCTGACGAAAAGGCCGCTCTCCTTGCTCTCCTCCCACCCGAGAACCTCAACGCCTTCCCATCCACTCGAAAACGGCGGACAGCAATCGAGACTAATTATTCACGAGCTCTGTCGTCGAACATGCTCCGATCCATGTGGGCATGTCTTGTCGAGCCATCCCCTGGTCTTCGAGCGTTCACGATCACGCCCCGCTCACTCTCACACTTAGTTCGTTCCATGTTGCCGGTGCTACCCCAGGGAACAGAACCAGGGTGACACCCTCTCGTCGTCGCCTTGTCGGTATGCTTTGCTAGGATGTTGCGATCAGGTCTTGGCTTGTCCGCACTCTACGACCTTCAACCTGTCGGCACTAGACTGGCCGTCGCTTCTCTCGGAGAGTGTGTGCATGCTTCATCGCCAAAAATGAAGCAGCACAACTGACACCTGTCTGCGCGCTATCGACCCCCCCGCGCCCGACGTCACTCAGAGATCTGACCCGTCGGGTAGAATCGGGCACGGAGCTTGCTGGGCTGCAGGCAAGGCGCACCGCGCTCAAGAAGGAAGCCAGCGAGGTAAGCCCATCTAGGAGGAGAAGGCAGCCAAACGACAATGCAAAAGGTTTGTGAACTAGTAGTCCTGCAGCTGTGTTGACCGTCTTGCATTCGCCGTGCTGCTGTGTTGCCTCGTGTATCGATCGCCAACCGACTATGGTAGACTGTTTTGGGCCGTTAGAAATAGCGCTCCTTTCATCCAGCGTTTTTTGTCACCAACAAGAGACCATTTTCTTCTTGGCGTAGTGCATTGTGTGCGGTAGTGTGATAGACCGCTGACCGTTTGTTAAAGACAGAAGTTGCTGTTGCGTTCTCTCTCTCTCTCTCTCTCTCTCTCTCTCTCTC